TCTAGTACCACTTCTACAGCTGATGAGAATGAGTAGGTAATAAATGTACCTTCCAAGAGCCATAATAGCAACCCTTTGTCCCCACTAGTAACGACAAGCAGTTTTTCCTTGGAGAAAAGAATTACGATTGAATAATCCAAATTAGCTTGGACAAGGAAACTAGCAGCTGCCTGCATTGAGATGCCTGAGCGATGAGCCATGGCCACTTTGGTTTATCCGCAGCTGGGCCCTCATTCAGTTAACCGTGTTGCCGGGAGGCTTGGCCAACCCGCTTGAGCGCTGCCCGGCGATGAGTCAGGGACCCGGGACACACAAGTTCAGACCTTGCAACGCTGCTTTGTTTGAACTCTCTTCCCGTTGTAGCTAGGGATCCGTCGTGGAATTTAAACACTTGTGTGGTAACTCCATCCCCTCAGCCATTGTGTTCCTTAAGCTCCAGCTAATGAACTTTTAACACTGGCTCCACGTGAAGCAAGACCTAGAAAACGGCAGCAGCCGGCATTACTGGTTTGTGGGGGGGTTTCTTCATTAAAATGTGTAATTTATGACTTCAGGCAAATAGATGATGCTCTTGCCTGTCTGGTCCAAAGGCTCCCCAAAAAGCAGCCTTTATGCTATGAACAAAACAAAACAAAAAACAAAAAAAAAGAATTAACCAGAGTGCATCTAAGGACATTCAAATTAAGAAGGGACTCTCATTTCAAAGGACACACCTATTGTCACAGAGACTTCAAAATGCCTGCCTGCCGTAAAACTCAGGAACTTTGCCTAAAACAGAGGAACCAAAATTACATAATATTTGAAAAGGCAGCGCAGCCAAAGGCACCGGTGAAGTATACTTTGTCTCACGAGGCCTTTTCTTTCAAGCCAGCAGCCCGGGTTGCTCAGGGAGATCCTCCAGATAATGTCACAGAGAAGGGTCTCAGACCCGCATAGATTAGGACACACGGGGCTTGCTAGAGGCAAGTTTTGCCTTTAAATCTCTTAGCTCATTTTGCTTCTATACATATGGTTTTGAAACCAAAACCAGGTGACTGAAGGAAAAGAGAATGAATTTCTTCTCCAAGCCATAAACCCGTCCTGAAGATAATCCTGGAGGAGAAAAATGCAAATACAGTTTTAACAATGATACAATAATTTGGCATAACATGTCTCTGCTACTCCTCTGAAGAATTATGCTCTATTTACTGTGTGCATTGATTGCTAATGTTCTATATCAGAGTCTTATCACTTTGCAAAATTATATTAGCTTTTTGTATTTTCTTTTCTTAACCTGTAGTTATATTATAAAGAGCAATTGTATACTTCTATTTTGGCGACAGAGAGGAATGTGAATATGTAGCGTTGTTTATCAAGTACAAGTGAGAAAAATTTTGAAATCAGAAGTTTCCTTTCATGTCCTCAATCATACCAAAATCATTACTTTATTTCTGCTTTTATAAAAATTGCAACAACTTTTTCAAGCAATATAGCTATACTGTGGACTGCAAGTTGAAATATTTCAGGTATTATCTTTAAGTTACAAAAAGACAAACTGGCTTCATCGGCTCTAGAATCAAAGAATGAAGTATGCATATGTTTGATTTTTTAGATTTTAGGAAGATTTTTCTGCGCCCATATTGAATTTTTTTTTTTTTAAAGAACCAATTGTTTAGATCACACATTGAAGTTCTGAAACATTATGTTGTTTCCATATGAATGGCAAGAAACTTACTAAATGTGACTTTCATCCTTACTAATACCTTGGAACCTAATGCTTCAAGCTTACAGTGCATTTCCATTCTTACCCTAGTACTTTATTTAATTCATTTACCATATATAATGCCCTACTCTATCAATCCACCTTCATTGGTTTAAATCCAGAATTTTTCAAGAATACTTATATGCCAACCCTGCATGAAGCTTTCCCTAATTCCCCACCAAGTCACAGCTAATCTCTCTTTTCTGTGCCTTGCAGCCCTTCCTTCCTCTCAGTGAGAGCAGTTAGGCTTCCCCTTCCCTCAGGTCCCAAGCACTGTCTCCTGTTCGGAGGCAGCCTCTGGAGGTCAGGGATTCAGTTGCATTCATATTTTTCATATTTTTTCTTCCTGATAAATATTTGACTAATAATCATTCTAGCTGATAATGAAACCTAAGTTTTCAGAATTTACTTTTGTTTTATAAACACTGTGTGACCCATCTTCCTAAAAAAATATATATGATATTAAAAATTTAGATTTGAATACCCTTTCCTAAAATAATGGTATTAAAATACACAATTATATCAAATTATCTAGCACCTGCCACATCACCAGGTAAAACACGGTGCTCACCTGAAGACTGGCTTTTAACCATGTCCGCTTACAGTGAAAAGTTTCGGAGTTTTTGTTTGGTTTCTGTTTGTTGGTTGGTTTGTTTTGATTTAGTTTGGTTTGTTGTTGCTGCTGCTGTTTTTATCAGAATTCCTTGTGTAGCTGTTAAATTTTGGTCTCACATGGGCCAAAGTTTGAAATTTTACTCTGTGATAAAATGAAGGCATGGTTTCATTGTCTTGGAAAGTTTATACAAAATCTCCAGACCACAAAATTGGCCACATAAATCTTTATGAACAACGGTTGAAACCAAATGGCTTTCTGAAGCTAAGTGTGTCAAAACTCAGGCAAAGATAGAGTTCAGGCAAGTGATGCATAAACCAATGTGGAGTGTTTTCCCTCTGACATTGCTTCAATGTGCTTTAAATCATAGTTTGGCAAAACCTCATTTCCTAAAAGTAACTACAGTAACGTTTTCTGAATTTTGATTATTGTAATAAATGTTCTTGAGAATTTTACTTTCTGGTTTCATATCATTTTTTCAATACCTGAACCATATTTTAAGATATTTTAGAGCAAAAATAATTTTTGTGTGAACATTACTCAACTACAATTTCAAGAATAATTTGTGCATGAACATTACCCAAGCTATAATTTCAAAAATTAATATTTAGTTACTAATTTTATCTCATCTCTACTTTAGTCTCCACCAATTTTCATCCTGTTACTTGTTGAATGAAAATCCTAAAAGCTTTAAAAAATGCATACATTCTTCAATAAAAAGGTCAGTTATATCAAAGGCTTTTGAAACACTCAAGCATAGAATATTCACTGCATTTTACTTGTATGACCATGACATTCTCACACAGAAACCTTTAAGAGGGTCTTCTCATTAATCTGTCTTGGGCTGCGTCTAATCAAATTATGTTTTTCAGGATAGTCTGTCCTTCTCTGAACCGGTTTCCCGGTTTCTGAACGCCTCTTTGCTATCTTGTTACACTTGGTCGCCAGCAGACGGACTCACCTCCAATAACAGTTAGTAATTTTCTAGGAAATACAGTTTTTTTTACTCACCAAGCAACAGTAAACCAAAACTACCAACATTGTTTAAATTAAAATCATCTTAATGAATAGAGCTCACATGGCCCAATAAATCATCTCTGTCTTGGAGTAGCAAAAAGTTGAAGATACTACCTATGTTGAGATTTCTTTTTCCTCCAGATATATTGGACAATAAATGAAAATGCCATAGAGTCTTAGCTTTTGTCTTGAACACCTGAAGTCCTCTTCGCTACTAATTTTTACTGAGAATTAGGTCTTTAATCCAAGGATCTCTTATCCTTTTGAAACCAGTTAATTAAAACAATAGTCTCCTTATGGAACTTTCATATTTGGGTAAAATGAGAGCAAAGGAATTAAATAACTTTCATATGTGACATAAGCAGGCATATTCGGAGCTAGAAGTACAAATGTGCATCCATTCCTCAGCTCCTGCTCCCCTGCTTCTTTTAAGAGCTGAAATCTGTGCCATCATGGTTAATGTTTTGACAGATTTTATCATAAACCTTGCTGTTGTAAATTTGCCTTGAGCCAAAATTTAACATGTTGTAAGCTCAGAAACAGTTTTTACTGTTAGTGACCAGAAAAGGAAATAAATCAATTATGTTCCTTTGAATGATAAGAGTATAGAGTTTAACTCTTTAAAGGTTACCCATTACTCCCTAACCAGTGTGGCTCAGTGGATAGAACATCAGCCTGTGGACTCAGGGGTCCGGGGTTTGATTCTGGTCAAGGGCATGTATCTTGGTTGTGGGCACATCCCCAGTATGTGTGCAGGAGAAGCTGATCGATGTTTCTCTCTCATCGATGTTTCTGACTCTCTATCCCTCTCCCTCTCTGTAAAAAAAAAAAAAAAAAAAAAAAAAAAAAAAAAAAAAAAAAAAATCAATAATACATATATATTTTTAAAATTACACAGTACTTGAAATTTGGAAGAAATTCTTTATTTTGTATGTACAAAACCTCTCAACTGTCAATAAAATATACATAAACACTTTTGTGAGTATTATTATACAAGAAAGAATATACCAAAGGAAATGTTATGGGGCTTAAATATGCTCATTAAATTTTATAGCCAAAATATTATCCCTATTTTTAAAAAAATAATAAAGCCCTTTGCCTTAGTATATGGAGTCAAAAACTTAAGCCCTCAACATGTGATTGATTCAAAACTATGGAGTAGCCACTTTGTTTCCAAATAACTTATCAGCAGGCTCTTCAGTTAGGCCCTATCTTGATGGTGGTTGTCATCTACTATTTTATCACTACTTGGAATATTTCATTAACATGCTCCGAGTCCTAGCTGGTGGCTCCATCAGTTGGAGTGTCCTCTCGTACACAAAAAAGCTGTGGGTTCAATTCCTGGTCAGGGCACATACCGAGGTGGCTGGTTCAATCCCTAGTCGGCGAGCATTCGGGAGGCAACCAATCAATGTTTCTCTCTCTCTCCCCTGCCCTTCCTTTTTCTCTAAAATCAATAAAAAAAACATATCCTGGTGTAAGGACTTTTTAAAATACTCCCAATCACTGTTATTACTAACAAGCAGCCTGCAGATTCAGATTTTATTCCCTCTAATGTATTTTCAATGACCATGACCAATAATATTTACCCATAAATGCATTTACACACAGGCTTAACCTTAGCACATCAGCGAGGGGAAAAAGAGTTATTACTCAGTTCTTTATTCTAGAATAAATCAAATCAACAAATATTTATTGAATGTCTACTATATGCAAATACTAGCCAGCTTTTAAAAGCCATCCAACTTTTCACATTGAAAAATCAAAGCATTATCATTTCAAGCACTGCAGAAGCTGCTCCGTGTCCTGTAGGTGGGAGAGCCTGTGGGGACCCTACAGTTACGTGGGATAAAAGAAGACAAGGAAGAGAAAGTTCACTCACAGGCTGGAAGAAGAAAAAGAATAACCTAACATAGCCCCACCGATGGATTGCATCAAGTATGTATGTGTGTGTGTGTGTATGTATGTGTGCATGAGTGTACAGTATGTATGTGTGTGTATATTTGTATATACACACAGAAAGAAGAATGAAAGATTTTGAGGAAAATGGATTGCTATGGTGACATAAGAATGGACATTTTTATTTGAATCCAGAGGTTTGCTTTTAAAAGGGCTTCCTAGTTCAGCTAGTGATAAGTCCTATGCTACATGAGACCAACATCTGTCATGTATAACAGAAAGATACTCAACTTGGCACCCCAACTCTAAAACTTAAGTTGCTCTAAAGTGTATTAAGAAATGACCTCATCAAGCAATAGATTTTTAATAGCAGAAATTGTATGGAGGCCTAAATAAGAATTTAATTTTATCATAAATAAGAGGAGCTACTTAAAAGTTCATTTTAAAGATTCTAATTGTTATTAGAAACTAAATAAACAGTACCAGTAAGAAACAAAACTTGTATACTTAAGTATACTGTATTATATGATACTACTTCATTATACTATATTATTTTTACTGTATATAATACTATATAACACCATGTTGTTATACTGTAATAGTCTACATATTTCATTTATTAATCTGTAAAAGATAAAATAATATACTGTCTACCACATACAGTAATTAAATGTGTTTCCTTAGTGAGATATAAAAGGGAGACTGGGGCTAATTTCCAGCTTCACCAAATAAAATTAATCCTGACTACTTGGCCTAAAAAGCAGGCATCGGTTGGCCATTGAAGATACTGTCATTGATAGTTTCCTGTGAGATGTCTGGTATCAATTTTAAAATACTTGTTTAGGAGAACTAATTTTTAATAGCAATTTTTGCCTCCTAATGGGTAGGTTAAGTTTAAAATCTAATGAAAACCAAAGCAGACCCTTTAAATAACCTTTTTAAGCAGTAGCTTTATCTTTCTTGAAATGCCTAAAATTAATTTCTCAATTTTCTTGTGTGGGAAAAAATACTACTATAGTATAGCTCTGTTATTCAAAGTTTATACTTCTGCTGTGAAATTGTTGGTTATTAAGATCACAAATATTTTCTTAATTATTTACTTATAATTTATTTTCAAAGAATTACCCTAGTTCCTCTATTGTAAATTTTGAATTTTATCTCAGCAACAGTCTTTCTCTTCTTCACAAAACCATACTTACTATTGGCCTTTGCAAATACCATAAGCACTTCCAATGTGTGACTACATTGGTTTGATATCTTTCATTTATTTTCTTGGTACACTGCAATTAATGTCTTCGGATATGGTCTAAATAAAATTTCACTTGGATGAGCCAGATCTAATGCTTCTGTTCATGAGGAAATATCATCTTTAGAGTTGTTTCTAATTTTCATTTCATCTTTCCCCAATTTTGACCAGAATTCCCAGAGCTGAGACCCTTCACCTAGGACCTAGCCTGGATTCACCTGCCCCCTTGTGGTGTTCCTCTCTGAATAGTTAATTGATTTCTGAATTTTGAATTTGTTATTAAATAGTCTGAGAAAAGAAATCTCGTCACTCTTGCCAGCAGTTTAAGGCCAGGAAAGTTTGTTCTATCAGTCACTGACTAACAGATGGATGAGTGCGTGTGTGGTTGTGTGTGTGTGTGTGTGTGTGTGTGTGTGTGTGTGTGTGTTAATTTATTTCAGAACACAGGAAGGAAATTGAGTCTATAAAGAAATGAGTATCTTGGAATAAATAATGATGTTTTATCTAGAATCAATATTAGTGATCTGCAGACTGATAAACAGAAAAAATGTTTAGGAAAGTCTCATAATCTTAAAATCAAGCTTCTTCTATGTCATTGTGTCCTTTTTCAGTCAGTGGAGGAGGAAGAGTGAATGCTGCTCTGGTTTATTTAAATTTTAAATGTATTTTCTATTTCCTTCCTTTCATAAAGAATTAATCCATAAATGTAAAAAATAAATCACACTGTATATTATGTGTGGTCGGATACATCTGACAGGATGGATACAAACAGGTTTTTGTTTCTCTCTCTCACAAAAGGACTCCCTCACCTGCTGCAGGACTGACTGGCACCTTCAGGCGGAGTCCATAGGATTTGCATATGGAAAAGGAATGTATACCTTCAATGAGCTTATTACCTGGCCACCAATTCAGGAACATTTCACAAGAATAAGGAATTAGGAATTTGGCCTCTAGTTAACAAAGATAAAAGGAAGAAAAAAGGGGAGAAAGCACTATTTATATAATTTTTTTCTAAGAAGGAAGAGATAGATGAATAAATTATTAATTGAGCCTAAGTAAACTGTTAAAGATACTTTTTCTAACTGCAAAGTAAATGTTTCTAGTGGAAAGGATGTCTCTTTCTATGCTGTTCTACCTCCCCTCCCTCCCCTCCCCTCCCCCAAAGCGGATTTGATTGAGTGATAGTGATCCTCTGTGGATCTTAAACATCATGCCACCGCACCTGCGGGCTAGGAGAAGGAAAGACAGCATCAGGCTTTAATAAGGCTGTGTGTCGTCCAACTCCCAAATGGCAGGTACCTGCCGTTCCTTTGCATCTTCTCACACACTGGGAACAGTTGACCTACTAACAGGTTCCCAGAAACACAGGTTCAAATTTTGGCAGGCTTACCTCACCTCTTTGTCCTTCCAAAGTACATAAACGCTAAACTGTGTTCACAGTGAGGATGAGAGAGAGTCATTCCAACGAGACTTTTAAAACCAAGACCCTTTCTGGCCCCTACCAAGTTACCGCCACCCTCACCAAAGGAATAAAGTTTTGTCAGTGTGTGCCCTCGGCATAATTTCTTCAGCCTGCATTAAACACAGGTGACTGGGAGTCTACCTTATCTCCACAGGGCATTAGTCACTCTATAAAAGTGAAATTTATTATGAAATGCTTTGTTTGTGTTAACATATATCTTCTCTGGGAAGCTGGAAACAAAGGCATGTCCTTTAAGACTCCATATGGGGAAAACACATCCTCCTGTGGAATTTAACCTTAATTTGAACCAAGATCTGTGAAAGAAAAGCACTTTAGTGTATTGTTCCCTTGCTCCACCCATCTATCCCCTTATCTAAATGGGGTTACTGTTGCTTCGTGTTGTTTAACTCTTCTCTTTCCAAACCTTGCTTTAGTGAGTTAAAAATTTATCTTAGAAGGGAAGTGTATTTTTAAAATGTGGCAAACAACTATGCTTTGCTTTTAAGGATACGTGGTTTTGTGCAACATATGAATTCTGATATCTTTAAAATTAAATAAATGTATAGTCAGGTTATATTCATATATCTTATTGTTAATTTTGTTAATTGCTTTTATATTTATTAATTAGACATCTGATTCTTAATTCCTTAACAAATGCTACATTGTAAAGAATATTTTATTTCTTAAAAATTATAAATCTTGAAAATTGTCTCTAAGATTCTCTTCCTAGCAAACATGGTCATGTATGCATAGCTTATACTTTATTAGAAGTAAAAATAATTAGAAGAAAATTTTACATTAGGGATGTTGGTGAGGTATGTTTGAAAATCCAATTTTCAACCTTTTCCCCTTCAGTCTGTTGCAGTCTTTATTGTCTTTAACGTACCTGGATCTATAGATGCACCACACTTCTTTTTAAAACCAAAACCAAAATCCCACTGCTGCCACTCCATCATAACAGACCAAGGAAACTATTTCCAAAAACAATTTTTCAAGTGACATTTAAAAAACATTGCTTATATTTTCTTTACTAACAAACTTGTAATTATTCACATGATGTTTCTTCATTGATTTTTGTTACATTTAAGAAAAAAAATCACAAACTAAATTTTAATATAGGCTTAGATATTCATTTATTCTAAAAAATATATATGAACATCATTTTAAATAGATATGTCCTCAAATCCTCTATTTCAATAACATCTTCAGTATTATTGAATTGAACATTTCTTAACAAAACAAAACACCATAGCAATACATTTACAGATTCCTTTGGTCACATATTTCATTATCTCATAGTATATTTCATTTAAGCTATAATATTTAAGTTAGTTTGATAAAAAATGTCTTTTAGAAATATGGGATAGATACATAATACATTTAGGATATTAGGACATTTCTTAAAAGTATTATCAATTAGGGCATCATTGTTCTCCTCAGCATCCCCTATACTTGGTTCTGAACTAACCAATCTTCTTGTGGAAATCATTGAAGCTTAGTTCTGTCACTTGTGAGCACTTGTCAAAGAAAAGAATAAAAAGTGTGAACTTTATAGATGATGTGAAGAAACAATTTGACAAAAACTGGAAGAAAGGAGCAAAGGTAATTCCAAGCTAACACATAAATGAATTCTGGTAATTCTCAAAGTATTTGTAAAATTGGATGAAAGAGGGTATGGATGTGTGTGTGTGTGTGTGTGTGTGTGTGTGTGTGTGTATGTTTATAAAAATGAAGATAATAGCCCTATCTGGTTTGGTTCACTGGCTAGAACATCAGCCTGCGGACTGAATGGCCCGGGCTGGATGCCAAATAGGGGGCTTGAAGAGGCAGCCAATCAATGATTCTCTATCTTTCTCTCCTTCTATAATATCTATGACATCTCCCTCTATAGGAATATCTTCAGAGATCATGAGCTATAGTACTATACGAAACTGTGTTAGATAAAAAAAATTTTAAATAAATTGTAGCATAAATTCCATGGAAAGTATTTATTTATATTAATTCCTATCTTTGAATCTTCAGCACTAACTAGAACATACGAGCATAAGAAACAATTAGAAATATTTAGCTAAATCAAAATAATCTTTGCCCAGTGAAATCACAACACAATAGAGTCACAAGAAGTGTGGATGATAGTCTATGGCAATGTGTGAGAGTTAGGGGACAAGAGAATCCGTTGTAAAGTATCTATACTTTATTAATATACTAATCATTTAATGACTTACAATATTTACCCTACAAATGAAGGTGAAAGTAGTGTTCTCAGAAGAAATGTTTCTATTTTGGAATATTTGGAAGTCTTCAGTATTTTTATAAAGGTATATCTATATG